GGTGCTGGCGACGCGAGCCCCCTCCTGCGTCCACCCTCGCGGCTCGTTTGCTTGCGAAGCCTGGTGTTCCTGCCTTCCTCAGAGCACCAAGTCTCGTTCTGGAGCCAGGCTCGACGCCCTGTTGAAGAATGGGGGGCCAGGGAGCCTCCGAACAGGAACGACACCCCCACCCCGTCTCTACCAGAAAGCCCTTGCCGGTTACCCCGTGGCCTCGCTCTGACCCCGTGGGGGGAGAGGCCGGGGTTGTGGCGCGTCTCAGGCTCTGGCGTTCCAGTGGCTGGCGAGGCCAGAACCAGCGCCCGGCCTGGAAGCCTTTCCTGCGGCGTCTGATGCTCCACTGGCTGCACGGCCCGGGATAGCCCGCCCTCCCCACGGGACCGTGGGGTGTGCCGGGCTGCCCCGCGGTCACTCCGGGCGGCTCCGGGGGCTGCCTGGTGCTCCGAGGCACCCGCAGGGAAGCCACCGTCCCCGGGGGGCAGAGGAGGCAGAGGGAAACGCGGGCACCCGCTCAGGCTCCGCGCCAAGGGCTGGCTGGCCAGTTGGCGTGCTGTCCTGTGGGGGGTGAGGGTTGGGGCCGGGCTAGACCACCTCTGGCCTGCAGAGTCCGGGCCACACAACCCTTCTCCAGCTGGCCCACGCCCTGCGGCCGGCCTGCTTCACACGCTCCTGTTTCTGGCGTTTCAGGCCCCAGGATGCTGCGCTGCCCTTCCGTGAGCTGGTCTCTGGTCTCCGCGTCCGTCCTCTGCGGCCCCCTCTGGGCCTCCCGCTGTCCGGAAGCTCCGCCAGGCTCCTTGCCAAGGTAGAGGGTCTTAGCCCGCCAGGGACAGCTGGGGGGTGGGCGAGGGGTCAGACAGCACCTGCCCCCAGCTCCGCGTAACTGATGCCGCCGCATTTGAGGCCGGGTCTCCAGCATCGCTGGCGTCCAGGGGGCCATCACGGCCTGCTGCGTCCAAGCTCTGCCCCTCCCTCCTCCCCTGCCCCCACGGAGCAGGGAGTGCTCGTTGCGACCTCACTGTCTCCAGCCAGCCTGTCGCTTCTCTGCTCGCGGCGTCCATCCACGGCCACCATTCCCCAGCTCACACGCTTCCTTCCGGTCCGGCTGACCCCGCGACCCCTGGAGCGGCCTGGGTGACTGTGTCCCTGTGTTCGCTGTGCTGTTCCATCCAGAGCGTTTGGGAGGGACTCAGGGCCACCCGGCTGGACACGGCATCCTGGGGTCACCTGAGCACAGGCCCCAAGATGCCGGGATCCTCCCAAGGAGACGGACATCCGCTCGTGTGAGATCAGAGCGGAGCTTAGCCCATGCCCAGCATGACCCTGTGTGTCACCAGGGCACACGGGAGGATCTGACACCCCCGCTAGGGCCTCTCTCGGTGGCAGAGGCAGCCGGCCCCGGGGCCCAGGCCTCGCCCCAGGCGTGGTCAGGCTGCCCCAGGGACTTTAGAGACTCCAGGACCTGCCACATCCCAGAGTCCAGGAACAGTGTGGGCACTGTGCTGAGGACGTGCCAGTGCTGAGTAGCAAAGTGCATTTCCCATCAGGCGCAGAGGGGCGCATGTGGGCGGTGGGAAGGGGGCTTGGGCGGGTGGAGCCCTGGAGGGTGTGGCCGGGGAGCCAAGTCAGCGTGAAGGGGCCGTGCACGGTGTCCTGTGGGCCGCCCTATCCACCGAGAGCCGGGGGCTGTGGGGTGGAATTTCTGTCCGACTGAGATAAACGCGCAGGCGCTGAGGCTCGCTCCTGGGGCTGTTTTTCGTCTGAGGGAAAGCCGCCTCTGGGCTGCCCAGGGCGGAGGTGCCCCAGCTGTCCTCGCCCCAGGCCAGGGCCCAACTGTCCCCGTGGCCTTGGCTGTCCTGGGTGGTTGCCCTACAGCCGAGCCCTGGGCGCCTTCCTTACCAGCGGGTTCCTGGGCTCAGACCCCAGCTCTGCGTGATGGGCTGTGCCTGCGTCCTGCCTGAAAATGGGGAAACTGAGGCATCCTGCTTGAGGATGTTCCAAAACACCCCCAGGAAAGTCCCGCAGTGGCGCCTGGCGCGCAGAAAGCACTCAGGGTGAATGTTTGCTGGGGCTGGAGCCTCTCCGTTCTCGGGCAGGGGCTGACCTTGACCTTGCCTCTCCCTGCAGATGAAGTGTGTCTTGGTGGCCACTGAGGGCGCAGAGGTCCTCTTCTACTGGACAGACGAGGAGTTTGAAGAGAGTCTCCGGCTGAAGTTTGGGCAGTCAGAGCATGAGGAGGTGAGTGCAGGGTCAGCGGTCCTGGGAGAGAGGGTGGGGGGGCAGCACAGAATATCCAGAGGACAGGGGGGTGGGGGTTGGGGGACCTGGATCCACCCCTCCTGGGCAGCGGTGTGCGGGGTCCAGGGCGAAGTCAGGCCTGCTGATGCTGGCGCAGTGACCCCCCCAGCCCAGGGCTCACAGGCTGAATGAAGACAGGAGGCCATCAGATTTCAGTCACACGGCAGGAGTTAGTGTCACCAATGTTAGTGTCACCAATGTCTCTACCTACAAAGTTTAGCACGAGTTTAGTACATAAATGTTTTTAACAGCTGGGTCAAGATGTAGTTGGCATACCACGCACTGCATATTCAAAATGCATAATTTAGCTGGGCGCAGTGACTCATGCCTGTCATCCCAGCATTTTGGGAGTCTGAGGCGGGAGGCTTGCTTGTGCCCAGGAGTTCGAGACCAGCCTGGGCAACATAGTGAGACCTCTACAAAAATAAAAAATCAGCCAGTTGTGGTGGTGCACACCTGTATTCCCAGCTGCTTGGGAGGCTGAGGAGGGAGGATCCCTTCAGCCCAGGAGGTTGGGGTGGCCGCGAGCCGTGATGGTGCCACTGCACTCCAGCCTGGTCTGCAGAGTGAGACCCCTACTCAAAAAAAATGACCATAAAGTGCGCAATTTGCCATGCCCTGACATGGGTGTGTACCTGTGATTTCATCAAGGGTCATCAGGTAACAAATCTACCCCCTGAAAGTCCCTAACCCCTCTCGCCACTCCTTGGCGGCCACTGATGTGCTTTCTGTCGTGACCCGTCGGCTTGTGTGTTGTGGCCTTTTGCACACGTGGAACCCTGCAGCACGTGCTTGGGTGGGGTGGGGTTTGGGCTTGGTTTGGCCTCCTTCACTTCACATGACTGTCCCGTGATCCATCCTATAGGAACTGGCTCTGTAGCTCATTTTGTCTCGTGGCTGAGTCCTGACCTGTTGCATCTATGTGCCACGGTGTGTTTATCCGTTTGCCTGTTGATGGACGTCTGGGTTGTTTCCAGCTTTTGACTATTACAAATAATTGTCAAAGCATCCACGTACAAGTCTGTACTTTCATCTTCAAGGGTGATTACGGGGGTCGTATAAGTGTATGGTTAAGAAACTGCCAGGCTTTTCTCAAGTGGATTTATAGTTTTCCTTCCACTAGGAGCGTGTAGGGGGTTCTAGTTCTTCCACGTCTTTGCCAACACTTGCTCTGGTCAGTCTTTTTAATTTTAGCTGTTCTTACACATGTCTGCCAGCATCTCATTATATCTCATTTTATTTTTCGTTGCTTTCATGACATGGTTTTGAGCATCTTTTATTGCGTTTATTTGCCATATCTTTGGCCCATTTAAAAAATTGGGATTGATTGCTTCTTACTGAGTTCTGAGAGCCTGTAGTATCGTTGGCATTTAAGTCCTTTATTAGACATATGTTTCGCAGATGTTTTCTTCCAGTTCGTGACTTGTCTTTGTGTTCTCTTAATAGTTTATATCAAAGAGCAGAAGTTTTAAATTTTGATCACTCCAATTTTTCCATTTTGCTTTTATGGATCATGCGTTCGGTGTCATTTCTAAGAAATATTTGCCCAAAATCACAAAGCGTTTTCTCTATGTTTTTGTCTTTTGTAGTTTTAGGTTTTATATCAGGTCTAGTGATCTACTTTGAATTTTTGTATATGGTGTGAGGTATGGGGAAAGAATTCTTTCCCTATGGATATCCATTTTAACATTTTAATATTGCATCTCAGAAATACGTGTCATTTTCACATATATAATTTCCATCGTACTTCTCTTCTTTCTTTTTTTCTTTTTTCTTTTTGAGTTAAGGCCACGCTCTGTTGCCCAGGCTGTAGCACAGTGGCACAGTCACGGCTCTCTGCAGCCTCAACCTCCTGGGCTCAAGGGAGCCTCTTGCCTCAACCTCCCAAGTAGCTGGGACTGCAGGTGCATGCCACCACACCCAACTAATTTTTTATTTTTATTTTTTATAGAGACATGGTCTCACTATGTTGCCCAGGCTAGTCTCGAACTCCTGGGCTCAAGCAATCTTCCTCTCTAAGTCTCCCAAAATGATGGGATTACAGGCACGAGCCATTGCGCCTGGCCAAATTTTAAATTAAGAATTTTTAAATATTTCCGCTTTAAAACCGCTTTTTCAACACAATCAATTTAAGAAGCAAACTATTTGGCAGCATTCTTTTCCTCTTAAAAACTTGGTAAAGGAACACACTCCTAGTTTTAAAACTCCAAATTAAAAACTTGCTATAGGAGCACACTCCTAGTTTTTCAGTTCCTGAATGGCTAGTGTAAAGTGAAAGTCTTTAACGTTTCATTTTTTATGCGTACCAACTTTTTTCTGATCATATAAATAACGAGATAATTGTGGGAGATTTGGAAATACAGGGAAATCATTTTTAAATGACCTATAATTCCACTACCCCGAGTTCTTGCTTTTTAATAAATGTTCTTTGGGTCTTTATATTTTCTATAAAGTTGGAATCATACCACATTTGCAGTTTTTATCTCCTGTTTTTTTCACTAGCCGTTGTATCAAGATCTGTCTTTCATTGTATTAAATATTCTCAAAAGCATAATTCTTTTTATTTTTATTCTTTAGAGACAGGAGCTTATTATGTTGCCCAGGCTAGAGTGCAGTGGTGCGATCACGGCTCACTGTAACCTCAAACTCCTGGGCTCAAGTGATCCTCCCGCCTCAGCTTCCTGAGTGACTGTGGACATGCCCAGCTAATTTTTGTAATTTTTAAAAATTTTTTAATTTTTTTGGAGATGGAGTCTTGTTATGTTGTCTAGGTTCGTCTCAAATTCCTGGCCTCAAACACACCTCCTGTCTCAGCCTCCAGAAGTGCTGGGATTACAGATGGCCACCAAGCCCAACCCATAATTCTTAATGGAAACATTATATTCTAGTATGTGAGGAAAATTTATCATCCTTTGTTTAACCATTTTCCTAACACTGTATATACACACATGTGCGTGCACACACACAGACACACACTTACACACAAGGGTACCAAAAAAAGTATACACATTTTAATAGATGATTTCTAGATGTTACATTTTGAAGTTGAGTTAAATTACAGTAGCAGTGTGTAGTATGGCGTTTGCTCAACCATGTTTCTGCCAGTTTCTTTGTCTTGCCTGTCTCCTGGTGACGCTAGCATTCATTTGATTAACTCCATCTTAGCCGGGCTCGGTGGCTCAGCCTGTCTGTAATCCCGTGCCTTGGGAGGCTGAGGTGAGTGAATTGCCTGAGCCCACGGGTTCGAGATCCGCCTGGGCAACTTGGTGAGACCTCATCTCTACGATAAATCAAAAAATTAGCCGGGCGTGGTAGCGCGCGCCTGTAGTTCCAGCTACTTGGGAGGCTGAGGTGGAAGAATCGCCGGAGCCCAACAGGTCGAGGCTGCGGTGGCCGGGAGCGGCCCCTGCACTCCAGTCTGGGCGACAGAGTGAGACTCCAACTCAAAAAAACCCAACAAAACTCCATCTTTTGAGCAAACGTCATACTTCAAATGAGTGTACATTTTTTGGAACCCCCATATTGCCTCTAGTCTTCTATCACTATTGCTGTAGGGAACATTTGTGCTTGAATTTTATTCCATTTCTGACTATTTCCTTAGGATAAATTCCTAAAAACAGAAGTATTAGGTCAAAAGTCATTCAGACATATTGTGCCACTTTATAATTCCACCAGGTAAAACATGAGAGTGTCCCTTTACCCTCTGCACACAGCGAAGATGTTCACCGCCCCTCACCAGATCAAAGTTCTACATCTGCAGAGAAAGCTGCAGTCATGCCTCACTTCACAACGGGAACAGGTTCCGAGGTTGCATCGTTGGGCGATTGGGTCATTGTGCAAACATCACAGAAAGTCGGGACACAGACCTGGGTGGTCTAGCCCCTTACTCACCTGGGCTGTGGGATCTAGCCGGTTCTCCTGGGCTACACGCCTGTGTAGCATGTGACTGTGCTGAGCCCCGTGGGCCCCTGTAACACAGTGGGGGGTGTGTGTGTGTGTGTGTGTGTGTGTCTGTGTGTGTCTGAGTGTGTGTCTGAACATACCTAGGCACCAGAAGAATCCAGTGTTCTAATCTTACAGGACCACCTTTGTGTATGTGTTTTGTGTTGACCAAAACATCGTTATGCCGTGTATGACTGAACTCCTTTTAAGGTAGATTGCTAGATTTTAAAGTGACTTTTCTAACATAATTTGTTCATGACAGTTCAGGAAAATCAGGGCATGTGACAAATTCAACACCCACATATTCTTGCCTACGTGGGGGTGGCACTCAGCAGGTACTGAGTGGGCACCTACCATGTGCCACGTGCAGCCTCTGGGGCAGAGCCATGAGCGCAGCCGCGTGACCCCTGCTTCCATGGACCGTAGAGTCCAAAGCGGGCAATGGACTGTGACCCCACTGCAGGTCAGCACCCTCGTTCAGCGGCAGGCAGTGCGAGACCCCAACAGCCGGGTGTGGGGTGGG